CCGGGGCAAGAGGGGTCCCGGGGCAGGACCTTGACAGATAGATGGTCTAACAAAGATAAACATGATTTTTTTTTTTTTTATAAAGAGTACAAATAATAATAATTATAATAATAATAATAATAATAATAATAAATAATAATAATAATAGTAATACATAATGATATTAATAATTATAATAATTAATAATAATACTAATAGTAATAATAATTGTAAAGATGATGTCAGCTTAATCTTTGTTTACAATTTCTACATGTTGATTAAAAGAAGAGGATCTTAACCAACCTGTTAAATTTGTCTACTTGTCATAGGTAATATAAACAGATTTACCTGTATGAATATTCTTAATTAAACTTAGATATTCAAACTGTTATTGTTTTCTTAATTTTTTTTTTGCAAACCTACCAGCAGTTATTAGACTCCTATCACACAAACCATCTAATAACCATATTTCATCTTCAGGAAATTTGGTTGCGAAATCTAAACATTGAAAATGGTTTTCAAAATATCACATTTATATGTATATTTTGACCTTAATAATCTAATACAACCAATTGCCTTTTATATATTGGTGTAATTTTTCTTTTTCTATCATAGAATATAATTTAAGTATTAAAATGAGAGGGGGGAATAGTTAGATCTAGATATAACATACAGTACTTCTTTAGATTTCAAAATCATTAACATTTGAGAGCAAAGCACTCTGTTTAACCTACCTGTAAAAATCCAACCTTTATTCTTAAGATAACTTATTAATTATTCTATTATTATTCATATTTTTAACCATACATATAAAAGATATTAAAAACTCAATTTATTCACTAGAAGAATTATTGATATTAATTTATACAGAAAGTCATGCAGTATATTTGCCTACCGGTAGAAAGCTTATGCTTTCATAGTAAGTAAAGGACTAAGTATAACTGTAATAATGCCTTTCTATTACTAATGGAAAATACATAAATTATCTAAGTGATTTCAAGCAATAAAAACAAATAATTAAAAATCTCATAATTTTAAAGATGAAAATTTTCTATGAAAACAATTTTAGACAAAAGATTTTTTTAATCATTTAGGCCTACAGGTTTTTAGATTATACAGCCTATTACATTTTTAATGTTTAATTACATTTTGCATGTGTTGCATAGTATTATGTATGCCTAAGGTTTTTTTTTATGCATTTCTTATCTCATTTGATTTGTATTGATGTAGATAATGATATCTTATGTCACTGTTCTTCAACATCACTGCTACCATTCATCATAATTATCATAGTTATTATTATAATCATCATCGCATTATCATCATCATCATCATCCTCTCTATATTTTTATCATCAGACCATTTTCATTATTATATTTTGTGCTTAGTATCTTATGTTGAACCAGATCCCAATAACACCAGGCTAGTTATCTGCAGGTTGCAGGTTCGATTCCTACTCGAATCACAAAAGTTTATTTGGGAATGTATTGAGCTCAGTACAATTACAATAACACATCAGGTAGGGCAAAACATCATTCTTATTAAATTATTTGTACAAACACCAACTAAATAGTTTTAAACATTTTTGATTAAAAAATGTGTAAATCATAGAAAAAAGATTGTTTCAATGCTGTAGGCCTACCTAATTGTAATTGATAACTAATTTGATCATTTTTAATTCGAAATTTTTCATTGATGGGTTGTTTTTCAATTAAGCACTATTGATACTGAGTCTTATAAATTCAAAATTACTAGGCAAATGGAGGAAATCAGAAGGAAGTGATGTTTAGAATAGAAAACAAAAATAAAAAAGACATTAGACCTTGAAATTTTCTAACCTATGGCCTACTGTAATACAGTGTGGATGACATAATGAATATATGGAACAATGTTGGCAAGAATTTAAAAGGAACATTAGTAAAAAGGACAGATAGCATTGAATAAATGATAGGATGCAGGGGTTAATTGACAACAGGAGGGGATATTTCCCCCTTTTCTATAATGAGCAAAATCTATTTGAAAATATGTTTAGTTAATTATTTTGTATATCCCTTTGGCCCAGTTGAACTTGAACTTTAAGAACAAATGAAATATGACTTTTTATATAGTGCCCTCTATGTTTTTAATAGGCAGTTTGATACTTTTTGTAGACTAAACTTTTTTTTAGTTTATATATCCTAAGCTTTGTCCACACAATCAAATTTTCCTTGACAAAAAACTGTTGTATACCCATATATGGTCATGATATGCCTATATATGGTCATGATGTGATGTCATCATGACCATATTTAGGCATGTCACATGTTTTTGTCAAATGAAATTTGATAGGCTGGACAGGGCTTAATAAATAAAGTGTGATTTACTATATCCTACGTGTTGGTGATTCTATACAACCTACCAAATGACTGGATACAAACTGTTATATTTATGTTTTATTACTGTTAACACCATTATTTATTTATTTCAACAATATTTTGTGAAGGAGGTCCGTCCAGTTAGAGCTGATCAACTGGGACACTCAGTACATACAGTTAAAGACAAAAGAATAAAGATAGAAATAAAACTAGATCTTTAACAAATTAATTAAATTAAAACAGAAAAATTTAAAATCAAAATTTTTTTATAAAATAATGATTTAAAGAAAACATTAAAAATAATAATTAACAAAATAAAAATAAAAGATTGACACATTAAAGAAACAGAAATAATTGAAATTATAAGTAAATCTAGAAGAATAAAATAATTTTGTAGAGAAATTATTTTTTAAAAACTCTTTATTCCTTTTCTTATTCTTTTCTCACTCTCCTCTCCCCTTCTTTTTTCAACTTCTCAAAAACAATCTGCCCAAAAGAAACCCTGAATAAAAGTTTGAATGAATGTAATAATAAATTAAGTAATTAATTAATGTGTGGATAACTAAATAAACGAGGGAATGACTAAATTAATGAATTAATTAATTAAATGAATAAATTAGTAAAGTAAGTAATTAATGGAGATTCTCCATTGTATATATCTCAATACTGTTTTTTAAATAAAAAAATAAATAAAAAAAATGTTGATAGGGTTGTTATTTTTGGTTTTAGTTTATATCCTAGTTTTTGTATTTCAATAATAATAGTACACATAGTAATATATAAATCACTGTTAAAAAAGTTTTCAACTATGAATTGGTATTAATAAGAAGAAATAAAGCAACATCTTGTTTTTCAATCAATGCCCATTTCATTTTTTAAATAAAGACTTATAAAAACTGTGAGTATCAACTACAATAATGTATGTACTTGCATCAATGCTTTGTCATCAACTATACTATCTAGACACATAGGATTGTAAAATAAAATTATAAATAGGAAGATTGGATACTGATAATTATGAATTTAAATGGATAGTTCACCAGACTGGTGAAACCTCCAAATGACTTCGTGAGTGGTTTCGACAAAAATTTAATTTCAGAAACTCGACCAAATTTAATCCATTACTAAAAAAAAAAGTAATAAACATCATTAAATTTATTAGATAGATATAAAAATTTCTTTTTATGTTCTGAATATTTGTATATTTTTTTGCATTGATGAGTTCAGTTATCATATTTTATAGTTTATTCTGCACTTGGCATTTACTCCGCCGCAAGTATTAAATATGATGACGATGATTCGGATATGTTCACCTATCCACGGGGAATAATCGGCGCTTCAGACGACGAGCTCGGTGACGAAAACAGTAACTTAGCTATCTAGAGATGAAGTGGCATTATTTGAGATACTGTAAAAGCAATTTGTAATCATTAGTGCATTTGAATTTGTCTTCACCTCTGGGAGCTGCTTGAAACAAGACGAGTTAATGTAACACCATCAAGTTATATGCAAATCTACTTAAGTGAGTAGAATCAATTACCGTCTTAACCGATTAGGTGGCAATCCAATTTTATGTCAAACAGCAGTACACTAGTCTCATGTTATTAGAATAATTATCTAAAGAAAACCTATCATGTGACATTAGTTGTCTCTTACTTGTCAACAGTGGTGTGTTACTTTCCTAAAAAAAATCACACCTAGTCTATATGAGCCGGTTTGTAGCAAGATTGTGTCAGTGGATGCGAAGGATTCCTGCGAACAAGGCATGCACAAACAGGATTGTGCTACGTAGTGGACTTGATAAAGCGTATCTGAATCACGTTGTCTCTTTAAGTGCTATCATTAACATGTTATGACTGATTACATTTATAAGATTTCACACATTGTTTGTCTGAATTTTGCGACAACACAAGATTTATTCTAGATTATTGTTTTCCAGTCTACGTATGATATTTGCTGGCTTTTACCAAACATATTTCGGTGAGTTCAATATTATTGTACAGAATTCAGTTTATATCTTTTCATCTTACATTATGGTTATGCATCGTTTAGGTACTTGTTAATGATCATCATCTTTTTGTTTAATTAGTGTTAATTTATTAGTTTTGAAAGTGGTTAACAGTATGTTTTTACAATACAATATAATAATCTGGTACAATAGTTTATGTATGTATTATGATTTATAGTCAGCATCTTTTCACTATATTCTATCTGACTTTTTTTACCTGCACTCACTCGCCACGGAGGAAGAACTAGTGTTGTGCAAAAGCTCTGTTCTATTTCTGGCTGTCTACTTGCGTTTACATTTTAGCTTTAACTTGTATCAATTTTGTATCCGAGATGCAGCCATTGTTTCCCACTGCATTGTGTTTCAGTATTTTGGTTTTTAGTTTGTATAATTTATATGTATGTATGAATGTACGTATGAACAGTATATATTTATGTACATTGATTTATTTATATAATTTTGTTTATCTCTCCCGACATGTGATTTGAGACTCTAATTTTCTAAACATCTTTTAGGTAAAAACCTATGAACTATCAGAAGAGTGTACAGTATAACAAAATCCAAGTCTTTTTATTGTAATACAACTTCACCAAATTAAACAAACAAACAAACAGATTACTATGTTTTATCTTGATTCTGTATGTGTTAAGTTTTAACATTATGTACACTTTGCTTATGTGATGATTTTTATGTATGTTATATTTTACCTTTCTATGTGACTTTGTGCTCATATAAATTTTTACAAATTTCATACCACTTTTATTAAGGCCTTGATGAAAAGCACCCAATAGTGAATCTTGTTTTTCATGTTGAAATAAAGCATTTATTATTATTATAATGAAATATAGTTCAAACTTTAACAAAGATTGACTCATCTTAGGCATTGTGGTTTATTTATGAAGTATTCCTTACAGTTTTTAATTAATTTTGCACGTGCAACACCGTCTTTTATATGTTTATTTCCTAAATTTTTAAGTTATATATTTTATGATAATAAAAATGATTCCATGTTAGAAAAATACTGTATTACAACCCTTTACATATTATAAAGTTAATTTATTCAAAAATTGATTATTTCATGTTACATGGTATTTGATTTTTTGTATTATCAGTTCCATATGTTAAACGTTTGACATACAAATAATAGTAAATTTAGACAAATCTTGGTTCACACTTAACCAATATATTTACTAATTTAGTACCATAGGGTGTACATGTGTAAGTATTTAATTTTAGTTATTATCCCAGCTTCCACTGTGAGGTAGTATGGTTGTCTTGATACTCATATAGTGGGGAAGTGAATGGATCATCTAGCCCCTATCTTGGGATAAAACATATAATTACAGGGCTGTAGCCAGCCTGATAACTATACATTTTCTTTCTTTTTTTTTCTCTATTATATTGTACCCAAGGTCCTAAGTTTATTGTTTACACTGACTACTAATCCAATACAATATTTAGAATAGAACTTAGGGTCAGACAGTAATTTTTGGAATTTATGGTTTTGAGACAGAGATTAGAAGAAGGTGCATGAAAATGGCTGAGAAGCCATCTCAGAGCATCTTAGACCAGTGGCAACATCTCCCCTCCCTACCCCCTATTCTCAACATGTTTCCTTGCCTCTGCATTTTTCTTTTCTCTGGCTACGGCCTTGACTTACCAAGCACTACAAAAAACGCTACCAAAAGTAAATAGAGAACAGATGGACCCGATCCTAGATACCAGTAGAAAAACGGTCTTGAACTTCTTTATATGTATCAGTAACAGGTAAAGAGTTACTTTGAAATTGCTTTTAGTTTCTTATGTTTCTTTGTCCGCTACTGTTGTAATTGTACTGGTAGTAGTATTTGGTGAAATGAGCATCTGGCAGATTTAAATAATGTTACTAGCTTCAAGAGCAGTGCAGCTACATTGTAACACCAGTTCGTAGATCACCAAAGTTGAGCAAAAGGTGGGGTCAGCTAGTATCAGGATATTAAAGAGACGGGCTTGGGTAGGGCCAGGTAGTATCAGGATGAGATGGGCTTGGGTAGGGCTAGCTAGTATCAGAATGACAGACAGGCTTGGCTACACTAGGTACTATAGGACCATGTCATTTTAGTGGTTAATGGGTACAGGGGCTGCTAAGGTGTAGGTGTGCACCTTGCCCTTGCTAATAGGGTTTCGGGTAAAATTAAATCAGATAAGGCCCAGTGTGATTCAATCATGTGCATTTTTTTAATGAACACTGAATACTTTTTTAATGAACTGAACATTGTTTGAGAAAAAAAATTATTATATATTTTGGTTAATTAATTCCCTTAGTTTTGATTTAATGCATTTATAATAACACTTATCTTGTCCAAATTTATGTCTACTGTACAAATAATTCATGATCAGTTGATTAATTTGTAATCTTGTAAATAATATACAGTCATTTTTAATATTATTTATAATGGTGTATACTAATTTTTGTGTAAGTTGTATTATTTAATGTTGTAGTTTCTATTTTAATATACTAAGTCTTTTAATCGCATGGAAATTATTCTCTAACTCTGTCATGATAATATAAAAGAGTGTAAGCTACCTTTCAGAAACTAAACCATAACTCTGAAAGGTAACTTACACTCTTTTTTTAAAGTCTTTTAATTTTGGTTTTGCATCCTGAAAGTTATGATATGTTACTGCAGTTGGTGTGAGAATAATATTTCTAACTGAATAATATTTCTTGTTTATATCATATTGTAATATATTTAATAAATGCTTAAAATATTGATTTATTATAGCAGAGCTGTTTTCTTATTCAAAGATACAAGAATAGTTTATTACCAAGCCACATGGTACAGTATATCCAGATGCTAACACATTACACATGAACCTATAATATGGAATTATCTATTAAATCTTTATTTCTCCTCAAAAAAAAAAAAAAGAAAAAGTGCTGTTAATATGATTACTATACTGTTAAAATATCAGCATCTCTGCAGTGAATTTTAGGGAATTGCCTAAAGGTGCATTCTTACATTTACTAACTCTTTTACTGTTATTTTTTTGTTTATAAAAATAACATTTTATTTTCATAATTTCTGCTTTGCAGAATGATCCTGGTAAATAAGAAAACAATATGTTATTTTATTTTTTCCCCACCTGAAGATATTTTAAAGTTCACTGCTAATAAAACATTGGCAGATCTGGAGGTTGGTAAATGGATGCCTTAACCCCCTCCCCCGCCCTGGCCTCTACAATAGGCAGGGAAATTATTATCCCAACCCTCTGTACCATAGGTCCTCACCCCTAGCAGTCTCACCCTAGCTATGTCTCAGTGCCTCTTCTTAGAGGTTGTCAAGTGCATCTAGTTTTTTTTTAAGAGTCCGGCTATGTGCACTTCTATTTTATTTATTGTCTATTGAAACTCCATCTGTCTAGTGGCAATACACTTCCTCTTTATGTTTTACAAACTGTCCTTCAATTATTGTTTCAGTAATTTGATTTGATTGATATAATTTTTATTTCAAGTCCAACAGCAATTGAACTACCTGGGTTAATTATAGGATGGACATTTAATTGGATTGCTATAAATTTTTATTAGGACTCTAGGCTCTTATATTTAGGAGTTTTTTGTGGTTTTGTAATTATGAAAGGAAATTTCAAAATTGCAGGTATTAATTGAAATGGCACTGCAACAATCCTTAAATTGATTACCAGTCAATTTATGGACCTATGCAAAGAATTATATAATGCATCCGTTAACTGGCTGCTGTAATCACATTTTTTGTGACATAATTTTCAAATGGAAGCCTTTGGCATATCAAAGGGGGTTTCCCTCTGGAACCCCAGAAATAGAAGTTTGCAAAACAAATAAATTACACTCCAGTAAGTTACCTTATTGTGCCAGCTAAAGTCCCTCACTCTCACTTAATCATCAACACTCTTCCCACCAGATGTGTATAAGAGACAGATGTTTCTTTGTTAGATACTCTGCTGCTGAAAGCTAACAATTACACAAAGTATCAAATTTGAATATCAAAATTCTTATTAATTTTTCATTGACGTATCTTTAAAAATCATTCTAGAAAAAAAAGAGCATTCTTTTGTTGCCATGGCATTTCATGTCAATGGTATGATGTGTCACTTGGCTGGATAAATATCACTCAGTTGAACTCGGTGCTGTTAAGTATAAATCCACTTCACTTTGATAGATTCTGATCAAATTATCCATTGTTAGTGTATGATTGGATCTATAATTGATTAAGTAAATAATTCATATTCACTGGATATCAGAGTTTATATGGGAAGTTATGGAATTCTTTTGAGTGTTTTCCAGGACCATAAAAGTCTAAATGATATACGTTGGAGGAGGGGTTAAACTATTCAACATGTCTGAATATTTTGGGGAATTGCAGTGATGATGCCTTGGGTGGGAGTCAATGGGGCTTTAACCATAGCACTTGGGGAAAACAGCAATTTTAAGGACATCTCATGTAAAGGTAGTTGACTGTAGAACATATCATAGCCTAAGAATTCTTTTAAATCGTTTTTCTTTTTTCGATCTGAAAAGTTGTAACTACTGGGGAGAGGTTCAGCATGTCCAACAGGCTGGAGTCCCCCCCCCCCCCCCCCCCCCCCCCCCCCACCATTTTGGTAATAAATTCTAAAAATTCAATGCATATAAATGTTATGTATTGAAATAGTCGCTACTCAGAGATATAAATTATACAAATATTACTATTTTTATTATTAATATTACCGGTAGCAGGGTCTGTTTTTCATATATACGGCCTATTGTTGTTATAATTAATTATTATTGTTTTGTTATTTCGTGCCTTAATCTACTGGTATATTTCTTTAATATTCATTTCTATTCTTACAATAGATTTGCATCTTTATTGAAATTTCTGTTGGAAATGTAAACAAAATGTACTATATTTTTTGCATGTTTCAATTTCATTGCAACTGTACAATAGGTTGGTGCCAATATTGATGCCCACAGGGAGAAGGGGCTTAATCCCCTATCAAAAAATCCAATCGCCCCTTACCAGTTAGACATTTGTAGGACCATAAATATTAGCATGAGCATATTTAATAAATTCTGGAACCTCTCAGAATAGCTTAAAAATGGCCTAAAATTACTGAGATCCTCTGGCTAACCCCCTAACCCCTGAACCTTGACTTGGGCCCTGTTTATTTAAATAAAAGCGCTTAGAGGCCTTGTTTATTTGCACCTAATAAATCTACCTATTATTATTATTATTATTAATAGTTATTAATATTAAATTGACCAATATTTAGCTGTCATTTTGGAATGCGATTCATATTAAAACAATTTAGTTATTGCTGATACATAGACTTTACTCTAAAAATTGACAGCCAATATAAGAAATGGTGTTTATAGTGTCTGTTAATTGGTAAAAGACAATATATTTTTACTAATGAAAAATAATAACCTATTTATACTAAATGTACAAATTAAATACAGTATTACAATAGTTCAACACAAAAAATATGTTTTAAATATAAATGTCTATTCAAAGAATGTAGAAATGGTGTTAATAGTGTATCTGTTAATTGGCAAAACCCCACTTGAAAATAATAACTTAATTATACATAATATAAAAATAAATATATTATAATAGCTCAACACATGTATAATTTGCAAGACCTCTCAATGATCATGCAGTGCTTCACACGATTGAGGATATCAACATCACTTTAATTAACAGGTTTAGTGTTACAATGTGCAACATTAGCCTTGTTATCATTTTTATCAGTTGCATTCTAATATTAAATGGTATTGCATATTAAATCTCTATGTTCATTGTATCTACTGTACAATCACTAGTGGCATCAACCAACAATATACTGCATACTGTATTATCTAGTCATTCCCTTCTGGAGTCCGTTATTATTTTTTGACTGAAAACCTTATTGAGACAAGGTGTTTCTTATAGCACCAAAAGAACAATATTGATTTTAGTTTCAAGCAAGTGAAATTCATTAGAAATTTGAGATTTTGGCATTGACCGGCTGATGTATTAATTAAAGCTATGTAGCATTGTTTGTTGGCCTTATAGTTAATAATTGCAACAAGCAAGGAGGAGAAAGAACTAATATCTCTCTTATAGTCAATGGTGGCTCATCACCATATGGGAGAAACACAAGATCAGTCCCTTCAGCTGCTACACCAATTATCTTATAAAACAATGAGCCTAGCTTTTTTTCTTAGTCCCGGATAATGAGATGTTGATATTAAAAAAACGAGGACGAGCAAATAAGAAATGATTAAATTGCCAAGATGGTGTAGTGAATTGATAACACACACCTATAGTATCGTATGTAACAGCTGGTAGTTTATGCAAATGGCTAGACCCAATACAAATATTCTTATCTCATTTACAGTTGTTCAAGGAGGCCTGTAGTAGCACCTGAACTTTGGCACAAGGAACTCGCAAACCTGTTGGCAGGAACAAAAGCAGATACTCTTTAAGACTACCAGGTAAGGGCACATTAGGTGCATTCTTCTTTTTTATTATAATTATTATTCTCTAAGCCTAGAGGTATTTTTTACAAATGTAATATAATAGATGTCAATTTCTTTGAAGAGAGAATACATATTATTGTTCTTCCTCTAATTTGATTCTTAAAACGAAATTATTATAGATAGATCGCCACTAAAGAAGGACTCGTGTAGTTCGAAAGGTCTAGTTCTATTTCTGGCTGTTTACTTATGTTTACTTTGAAGCTGTTGCTTATCAAATTTGTATCTCTACCGAAAACCAGCCATTGTTTCCGCAGCATTGTTGTTTTTCGGTATTTTGCCTTTTAATTTGTATTATGTGGTGTGTATATATATATATTGAAATATTTTATGAAATTGATATTATATCATAATGTGTGTATGTAATAAAATATTTTATGAAATTGATATATAAAAATGTATTCATATATTAGCTATTAGCAATCCACAGCCCATGTGTATATCAATTGAAACATATTAAACTATTAAAATTTCTCCTGTGATTTAATTTTCATGATAATTGAAATTGTATGTGTAAACAGATTAATATATCCCTGTCTACATGCTTGTATAAATGTGTTTACACATAATGGATCATACTATCAGCCTAATGAAAAAAATAATTAGTTTATCATTTCGACCCGCATGTCTTCTGTAGTATTAAAGATAATACATTTTGGGGGAAAAAATTGAATTTTTTTTTTTTTTTTTTTTTTTGTCTGTAGTAAGTAGTTGGGATATTGCTTGTATAATTATTACTATTGCATGTATTTTACTTTGAATATAAATTCACCAGCAAACAACTTCGGAGTGATATTAGGTTTTATAGCAAAATAAAAATAAAAAGCCTCTCTCTCTCATCACTTTTCCAGCCAAGATGATAATCTAATCATTTTTTTTGTTGGGCCATCTTTATATTTGTTTGCTTCTTTGCTATAAACCTTATGCCTAGAATGTATTTAAGAATTATATTTGAGCATTTCTATTCCTGTATTAAAATTATTATTAAATTATTCTAATTTGTCTTCTTTTATTGATTTTTTTTCTTTCTGTAGGTATTTATTTTGTAATAGTTTCTTTTTTTTATATTTGTATTCTTTTTTATATTTCTTTAAAATTATATTATAGATATTATCATCATTAATTAATATCAAGGTCTGAATTGTTTTTTTGTTTTATGGTCATTATTGTTGTAGTTGAAAATTCTGCCAAAGCACAAAAATTAAATTACAGAATTTGATGTTGTATTAGGAAGGGTATGGATGTAGGGAAAACAGTCTAGGGTATAGTAAGTTTCCCCTCTCCTTCTTCCCCTCCCACAAAAAAAATAATAAATAGATAAATAGATGAAAGTCCAAATATTTTAAAATTTATTCCCACTGATTCATGCATTGTATAGTAATTCCCTTGAGTTTTTTCAAAACTTCCTCCTTCCAATAAATTAGTTTGCTATGTAGAATGTATGTCAAAATTACTGTGGAAACAGTCATTCACTGTGATCTTGAATAGTATGTATTAAGTAAAACAAAGGATGACTTAAGACCCACTAGCTCTCTTTGTCTATACCCATGCAGGCAACAAACATTACGTGAAGCCATTATAATATCCAACACACCCTTTATGTTCCTGTGCCTTGTACCCTTGATAAGATCAAAAATCTTATTTGCCAAGAAATGCGCATATAATCTTTGAACCCGGTTGTTGTGCAACATGGCATTTTTACCATACAAAGTGTTTTACCTGTAACACAATGGTCAATTTTTTCAAAGATTTTGAAATTTTTATTAAATTTTCTGGTTTTTTTTCACATGTACTTTTCTTTATGTTGTGCATTCTTAATGAGAATTGAGCCTCTACTTTATAAAGCAGAAACAATGAATAACAGAATAATTAAACTTCCGGTATACCAGGGAGGAAATATATTGATATATTTCCTCCATGGGTAGGCCTACACTATGTGTAATAATATGGATTTTGAGGTAATGTGGTTATATTTTTTTTAATTTATCGATATTATTTATCATATTTTATAATATTATTACACTATTTAAAAAAAAAAATTTTTGTACTGTTGTAGTAACTGATTTTTCTAAGACAGAAAAAAGTTGTTTGACGAAAAACTAAGAAACAGTTAAAGAGATACAGATTTTTGAATATTTAAAAACTGGGGGAAAAGGGGTGTAACCACCCTTTTTTCTACCTTCCCCTCCTCCCCAGTTTTTAAATATTCAAAAATCTGTATTTCATTAACCGTTTTTCGTCAAACAACTTTTTTCTGTCTTACAAAATCAGTTCTACAACAATATCATTTTTTTTTTCGTCCGGAGCCTGACTTAAATAAGGAAGTTATTAATTTTTCTATAAGGAAAATGAATACAAAGGTATACACCAGTCGTTGTCATACACAAATTTCTTAACTAACGGAAGTACTAGAGTTTGAATGTAATGGAATACCCTTCTATAGTAATTAGATTCATGGAAGTATTTATAAGAATGAAGAATGTAAGGATTTTCAACTAACAACACATTTTATTTTATTCAGTAGGATTTATATAGAACTACTACAGAAAAAATATTCTAGATGCTTTTTTCCTCTTTTCATTGCATACAGAATTATACATTAACAACGTACATTCTCCTTCGCTCCCTGGAGAGTATGGCCAACTTGTGCACGTAATTCAGACTACTAAGTTCTAAATCATTTGTCTCCCACAAATACTCCTAGTTTATACCCCGGGTGGGAGGGGCAAGAGTGATATGCATCAATCTGGAACCCACAACCTTACAATTGAAATTCCAATGCCTTAAGCACTGCGCCACATAGCGTCATGTGCTCCTTAAATATGTGTGTTTACATTTTATCTAGCTTATTTATACACCAGTGTTATTCCTTTTCTTATAATATAGTTTATTTTAGTTTATGTTATTTGATTGCTTATTTTCACCATCATTTCTTTTGTAATTAATTCGATGTTTAGATTAAATTTTTTATTAAAGTTTAATATAATTGAATTCTTCTTCCTCTTAATCATTTATTAGTTTGTTTTTTGTTTTTTTTCTTTTTGTAAATCTAGATTAAATTCTAGAGGTTGTTGGTTCGATTCTTACCTGAATCACTTGCAAAATATTTTTAACAAGTAGTTTGGAATGTACTGAGTATTAAGTATAATAACTAGTCACATATGGCAAAACATCACTCCTATTAAATTTCCTGTCATTAAAATAACATTGAAAAACCAGCATTGTAAAAAGTTGAATTTGTTCACTATGGGAGTTGACAATGGACAAGTAAAAATAGTTATCTCCAAATAAGATTTACAAAATACCATGTTGAAACTACTGTAGTTTTTTATACATTTACCAACATCTGCGATTATTAATAACATTTTTTGAGTTTGTCAAGAATCTTCTCTTTTTTTGATAGCAGCTGAAGTGTTGCCTGATTCTGTTTCTCCTCTTGGCTTTAGATTGCCAACACCAATATGATCAAAGTTTGTTGTTGTAAACAGCTGAAAATATGGCCGTCCTTGGTTAATTTAGCGTTTTCAACATGAGTAAGATTCTGTTATGCTTATAATACTTAATATTCAGGTATATTCTGTTAGTCATTAGACTCCTCAAGACAGGGCCAGTGCAAAACTCTTGACAGAAAGGAAATGTTAGATACCATATGTTCAGTTTTTGTAGGCTTTCCTTAATGATTTTAGTTTACAAGGCCTGGGGACCAGGCTAGGGGAAATGATATCAGAAAAAAATATCCTAATAATTACTGATTTTTAGCTCCCCCTTCCTGTAGAAAACCAACAGATGAGTATACACAGTACTTTGATTCCTCTGTAGTTGGTATAAAATTTATTTAAGTACTTTTTTAAGACTTAAAGTGTGTTGGCTTTTACCATTTGTTATGCATATTGTATTATTTATTTATTTATATTTTAATAAACAGAACAATGTACTGTAACCACTAATGACAATGCAAATAAAACATTCAAGGAAAATGCTTTACTTAAAATACAAAGTTTATTACGAATATCCAAATATAAAATGGTATTTTTTATCTTCAGGTTTTTATTATGTTTTTCCTATAATTCAACATGTTTAAACTATAATTTTTTATATAAAGTATTATTAATAGAAAGTGTGATGATATGAAAGTACAAGATTTTTTAACCAGATAATACCTACTATTATTATTTAACAAGGTAGGGCTTATATCTAATCAAGATTACAACTAGCTATTTATAACCATAAATCAGATAATATTTTAAAAAAAAGATTTTATCTCAAGTAGATTGGCAATTGGACATCAGGGTTGATCATTCAGGAATATCTTGTTTCTAGAGGCATAGGTCTGATTTTTCTCTTGCACAATGATTGTTGTAACAGATGATGTACGCAAAGAGAAAGTTCATGATAAAGTATTAGCCATATAATGAAAGATAATAATCATCTATGGTATAGGTATTGATATTTTCAATGGTTAAGACTTGCTAGAAAACTTCAGGTTATAACATGCGTGTAGGAATAACAATTCTCAAACCATGAAAGGAGTACAACGAGAAAGGTAGGGTTTCCCAAACTCAAGGTCGGGCATTTTACCTACATTTGTCATTCCACCCGCAAATTGGCTGGGAATCAATTTATGAATTTTCACAGTAAAAAGTGGTGCTAATCAGTGGAAGAACTTATTTTTATGTTAATCAAAGTTGATAATAAATTGAATTTTTTTTTTAGATTTTTTTTTAAAAATTATATCCCAGACAGTATATCTTTAATATAAACATCCTTCTGCTTGGCCAAAACAGTAATTAAGTTCTGAAACCTACGTATTATACACTTTTATTTTTATATAAAAACAAGGTAGAAACAGGAAAGAGAAAAAAATGACATGCAATAGGACAGGTAGCATAGATTTACCAGCTCTTAAATTTAAGTGTCAATAGATATGTAAACAAGAAAATAAATATATAGAAATATAC